CTGCATTTCAGCATGAAGAGCATCTCTGAACACGGCCAACCTTGAGGCGGATGGGCTACAGCAGCAGAAGAGCACACCGGGTGCCGCTCCTGTCAGCTAAGAACAGGAAACTGAGGCTACAATTCACACAGACTCACCAAAACTGGACAATAGAAGATTGGAGAAACGTTGCTGCTCTGATGAGTCTCCATTTCTGCTGACACATTCAGATGCTCGACTCACAATTTGGCCTCAACAACATGAAAGCATGGATCATCCTGCCTTGTATCAGCGGTTCAGGCTGGTGGTGGGGGTGTAATGGTGTGGGGGATTAGGGATTAAGCATTAGAGCAGTCCTGAATGCAAAAAGGGGCCAACCTGGAACTAGTAAGGTGTACCTAATAAAGTGGCCAGTGAATGTGTGTATTTATTATGAATCTAAAGCACAACTCACTTTAATTTTAAAGAGGAATTAAATTAGTTCATTCATCGTCTATAAAAGGCATTGCATTTTATTTTTCTTGGGCAGAATCAATATTTTAATTAATATTAAAATACATTTTTCATTTTCAACCAAGTCATTTGAGGGTAATTGATTCATTTAGCTGTAAGAAATGACAGTAGTTTTAGGTGTCTAAAGCAGGATTATCAAATCAAAACAAGACTAGAGGCACAGAGGCAGCACACATATTTCCTGTCTCTGTATTAAACTATATTTTTACTCCATTAGATAACTTATTAAAGCTTGAACCACACTCAAAACATTGCATTTCTACCATTTATAACCTGAATCACAATATTAACCCAAGCTCTGCAAATCAAGCCAGAGGTGCTTGGGAAGAGAACTTAGGTTTTCAGTTCTCTGATGAACACTGGGAGCATATTCTTGAGCTCACACATACCTCTTCTATATGTGCAAGACATGGGCTTATACAATGTAAGATCCTACACAGGGTTTACTACACTAATGCTAGACTTGCTAAAATATACCCTTCTGTCAGCGATGCATGTAATAGGTGCAAACAATCACCAGCGGATCTCATCCATATGTTGTGGGAATGCCCCAAATTATTTGTTTATTGTAACTATATGTAAATATTTAAAACTTTAAAAGATGCATTCGGCATAGATCTGGATACAAATCCACTTCTGGCCATTTTTGGGTTGGCAGTAGATGCCAACCTTTCAGTAATGGTCCAAAAGGCTTTAGCTTTTACTACTTTAATAGCGAGACGTCTCATTCTTTTAAATGCATGGATAAAAGAAGTGTTTACTTGTATTAAATTGGAAAAGATTAGACTGTCACTCACTGGTTCTTTAAAGACCTTTGACAAGTTGTGGCGCCCCTTTTTAGATTATCTACTAGCAAACTCTCTTGATTCTTAAACTAAGCAATAACATAGGAATAAAAACATATTTATTATTTATTTTTCATCTTATTTAGTTATTTATTATTATTTTTTTTTTTACCTTTTTAACATTATGGTTAATTATTAATTTTATTTATCATTATCATTATTATTATTTATTTTTTTTGTTTTGCTTTGCTTTTTTCTTAATGAGAAGTCAGAGGCTGTTGAGGGAGGGAAATGTTCAACTGGGGTTGGGGTAGGGTAAACACTAACATGGATGGATAATTGTAAAATGACTGTTATGATTAATATTCCATGTAAAAACCTAATAAAAGAAATTTAAAATAAAACTATATTTTTACTTTGTGTGAATAATTGAATTTTTCTCCACAATAAATATTTTAATTCAGATTAAATGAAGGTTTTATAGTCAGAAGCAAAGTTAAATATGAGAAACACAAAAACATGCAGCCGTAACAAATGACAGTAATTTGTGCACACTGCAGAGGGCCCCGTTTATGATTCTCATGTAGTGTGTGTGTGTACAGTGTGTGTGTGTAATGTGTGTGAATGGGGCTTGTGTTTTCGGGGTCACACTGCGCAGAGATGATGACGGGACCACCGGCAAGGCCTTTTTCACACACAAAGAGTGTGAGGCCCCGAGCGTCTCGCTTCAGCTCCTCTCCGTCTCAATTCACTCCATCATTGTTTCCCACTGAAGCCCCGTCCCCGACACTCCTTTCTCTGCCCTAATTGTCTTTATCCATCCATTGTTCATGCATTAATGTATTAATCCACACGCAGATAAATAACCTTCCACAAGAGGCTTCTCATTCTCTCCAGCATTTGGTTTGTATTTAGTATTTTCATGTAATAATTGCAGTTGTTGTCATTTTGTTGTGTAGTAATTTACTGGTTTAAAATATGTTTGATTTGTCTGGAAATGCCCTGACTCTCCATCTACAAAACACTGGAGCAACGAATTGATCTCCTTCTGCACCCCTGAGAAAACACTGCTCAGTGTCAGAGCATCACCATGGACTTCTGAAAGAATTCAGGGATCTTTTCTGATGTATCCTCCATTTCTTAGCTGCATGCTGTAAGGTTTTTATTGATTCATTTATTTGTTTATTGTTTTCGATTTCTCTGATTTTGAGCTTTTTTTCATTATAAAGTAAAATTCTGTTAATATGATGTCATTCTAATAATATGGACGATATGATTTGTTTTATTTGAAATTAAAGCTGAAAAATTATTTACTGTGTTCAATTTTCATCTAATTAAAGTTTTAGTAATTGTGTTTTTAATAATTTACTAATAAAAAATATTGTATTTAATATTTTCAATGTACACCTTATGAAATTTGAGTAATTTTGTTGTATGTGATTTTACTCATTTAAAAATTTATCTTATTAAGTATTTTTAATGTACATCTAATTAAACTTTTGCTTTTAATGTGATTTTACTCATGAAACCCACACCAACACGGGGAGACCATGCAAACTCCACACAGAAACACCAACTGACCCAGCCGAGGCTTGAACTAGCGACCTTCTTGCTGTGAGGCAACAGCACTACCTACTGCGCCACCGCCGCCCCTTATATTATAATTTAATTTACATATAATTAAATTTTCAGTAATTACTCATTTAATTTTTTTTTAAGTTTTAGTGATTTTGTGTTTTACTAATGTAATGTTATTTACTATTTATCAATTTACATCTAATTGAATTGTAATTTTGTTGTTTTTAATAATCTACTAATTTAAATAACACTTTCATCGAATGTTTTCAGTTTACATCTGATTAATGTTTCAGTAATTTTGTGCTTTTACTCATTTTAATTTTTTTATTATGTTATTTAGTGTTTTCGATTTACATCTAATTAAACTCTTTGTAATTTTGATGTGTGTTTTTACTAATTTACTCATTTAAAAATGAATCTTATTAAATATTTTTATTGTACATCTAATTAAACTCTTGCTATTTAGTGTGATTTTACTCATTTAAAATGGCTGTTATTTAGTATTTTAATGTACATTGAATCAAAGTATAAGTAATTTTGTGTGATTTTAATAATTTACTCATTAAAAATGTATGTACTTTCATATTTTTAATTTACATTTAATTAAAGTTTTAGTAATGTTGTGTTTTTTTTATTTACTTTAATGGATTTTACTGCTTTCCATTTACATCTATTAAATTCTTTGTAATTTTGTTATGCGTTTTTTAATAATTTACTAATAAAAAATAGTATTATTAATATTTTCAATTCATCCCTAACTAATGTTTCAATAATATTTCTGTTTTTGCATTTTAAAAAAATGTTATTTAGTATTTTCAATTTACATATAATTACATTTTTAGAAATTACTAATTTAAACATTTTTTGTATTTACTATTTTAATGTACATCTAAACGTTTTTCTTTAACTAATTTAATGTTATTTACTATTTTTCAATTGAATGTTTTGTAATTTTGTTGTTTTTTATAATTTTACTAATTTAAATAACACTTATTTTCAATTTACTTCTGATTAATGTTTCAGTAATTTTGTGTTTTTACTCATTTTTCATTTTAAAATGATGTTATTTAGTGTTTCCGATTTACATCTAATTAAACTCTGTACTTTTGATGAGTGTTTATACTAATTTACTCTTTTAAATAATAATTTAATTTGATATTTTCAGTTTACGTGTAATTAATGTTTTAGTAAATGTATGCATTTTAACTCATTTATTAATTTAAAACAATGTTATTTAGTATTTTCAATTCACATATAATACCATGTTTAGTCATTTGATTAGTTTTTCCTTATTTACTAATAAAAAATTTTGAATTTAAATAACTATTTTGAATTTTACGTCTCAAATTGTTTGTAATTTTGATGTTTTTGTAACTATTTTCATCTGAAGTTTGAATAATTTTGGTGTATATTTTTAATAATTGACTCATTTAAAAACACGTTCACGTTAATTTTAAGTTTCAGTGATGTTCTGTGTTGTTTCCCATTCCGCCCAAAACAAGACTGCATGCTATTAATCTTTTGTGTAGGTATAAAATCAAGATAAGCTGAATTAAACCGAACTAAATCTAAACCCTTTTACTCAACTGCCTGACAATAAGTTTGACTCTATTCCATTATATCTGTTGTTTATTCATGACTGTAGTTAAACCTGTCGTCAATCTAAAACCTTTACTGTCATAATGTTCAGGCAAGAGAAATATTTAATCAATAATCATTAATCAATAAGAGTTCAGTAGATCAGGTGCGGTGCAATAATACAGAAATAACTGTTTTCATTAATGAAGCTTCCGCTCGAACTGTAATGAGGAACTCCACGTGCTTTTCTTACGTTAATCATGAAATAAACACACACACACACACACACACACACACACACACGCACACACACACACACACACACACACAGTGGAAAGTAAGTCAGTGCTGGTGAATTTGGCGAAGATGAGCATCTGACAGCAGCTCCGATGAAACAAAAGCTGAGGTCTGAGGCTCCTCCCTGTGTGTGTGTGTGTGTGTGTGTGTGTGTGACAGCTGCTGCGAGCTCAGCTCAGTAAAGCTTCATCTCTAATAGGATGAGCGCTGCTCGTGTGTGTGGAGCTGAATGAGCGCGCATTGTTCCTTTGGTTGTTTCTCCTCTACCCGCGCGGATCGATCGATCAGTGATCGGATGGATCGGGATTTTTCTGATGGATATATCGATGTGAGGAAGGTGTCAAACACAGCGGTACGTATAACAGACAATCACGAGCACCCGCGCGCGCGCCGCCGCCGCCGCCGCCGCGATCGCGCGATTCTTACATTATTGTTGTTGTCACATTGTATCGCGCGCCGCTTTGATCAGTGTTTGTGACGTCACTCCGCTGAAGTTTACCAAGGACTCATTGATTAGGGGTGTACATGAGTGTGTTTGAGTGTGTGTGTGTGTGAGGGGTATAATGAATAAGGCAGCATCTCCCCCGCTCAAACACGCGTTCGTGAATTGATGAAATGTGTGAAATGACGAGTGTGTGTGTGTGTGTGTGTGTGTGTGTGTGTGTGTGTGTGTGTGTGCTGCTGATTATTATAAGTGCTGCTGATGCGCTGGTGAACTTGCTGTGTTGTGGAGAGAGTGTGTGTGTGCGCGAGAGAGAGAGACTGGAGGTGTGTGTCGGGGCTCGCTCTCTCTGACCCCGGGGGTCGGTCAGGGTGTGTCCGTGTCAGCGCTCGGTCTGTTTCCAGCACTTTAGCCCCGAATGAGTGTGTGTGTGTGAGAGTGTGTGAGTGTGTTCTCCAGCTGGATGAGCACAATAACAATAAAAGTCCGTTTGTTAATCTGATTGTCTGCTGGTGGTTGGTTGTTTTTCTCCCGGTGATGTGCAGATGGCCACACGAGCACAGAGCCAAGATTCCAGAGCACACACACACACACACACACACACACACACAGCGCTGTGTTCAGGTGTATCTCACCACATTACAGTATCTAGAGCTACACCTGACTCTGTCCTGCTCATCTATACAGCACTGTGTGTGTGTGTGTGTGTGTGTGTGTGTGTGTGTGTGTGTGTGTGTGTGTGTGTGTGTGTGAGAGAGAGAGCGAGTGTGTACCTCATAATTCACACAGTGTGGGGACCGGATGTCCAGCAGCAGCAGTAAATGTTGATGTTGTGTGTTGGTTGTTTTGGTCTCCATGAGGAAAAGAGCTGATCAGTCAGACAGAGTGAAGGAGTGTGGAGATGGAGAAGAGCAGAGTGTCGAGTTTAGAGAATATACTGTACACTACACACGTCACTACAGCTCAGTGAGTGTGTGTGTGTGTGTGTGTGTATGTGTGTAAGTAACATCAGGACACACTTGTATAATGTCATTGGCATGATGACACAGGTATAACAGGAGCAGGTGACTTATGAGGACATGTCAGATCATATTTCCCTCTTCAGAGAGTAAAAGTAAAGCTGCGCACTGACGGGGGGAAACTTACAGTCGCTGAAGGGCCGGGGAGTGAATATAGTTTCTACATAAAAGCCATTATGTCTATTAAATGTCCCCATAATTCACAAAAACAATCTAGTGTTTGTGTTTATATGTGTGTTTGAGAGAGAGAATGTGTGTGAGCGAGCGAAAGAGAGTGTGTTCCTTCTAATGCACACACTGAGCACCAAATGTCCCCACAAGTATAGTAATACCAGTATATTTTGAATTGATCGGTTCGTTTTTTGAGAAAAAGAGCAGATAATCAGACATGAAGGAATGTGGAGATGGAGAAGTGAGTTTAGAGAATATGCAGTCTGTACACACACATCACTACAGCTGTGTGCATGTGAGTGTGTGTGTGTGTGTGTGTGTGTGATCCACAGCAGATTGACAGGAGTGTTTTGGCTGTGATGGTTCAGTGTGAATACTCCACTGATTGGATGATGTCATTTCTCTTTATAATGTGTGTGTTTGTGTTGAGCAG